TAACAAAACTGAAGTTGAAGGACCACGGGAAGGATTTTGAAAATTGAGGGACCAAAATGTAAATCGGGTCAAAGTTCAAGAACCATTAGACCTAAGATCCCAAAACCTAATAAAGGTCATAAGCAATCTTTAGTGGTTTCCCATATAATAAGCAAATATAATTTTTAGTGCATTTCTTTTCGAACAAATAGGCCTTGGTTCTTCCCCAAAAAAAAAAAAAGGGCTTGGTTCATGGTCTCTCCTTTCCATTTTTATTTATTTATGAATGACCAAGATTGGATTTGGTTGTGTCTCAGTGCTTACCCACTCCAAATCCATGTGGTTGGATATATGATCATACCTTCCAATTTGTTATTGTAAGAGAAAAATAGTTCACCAGAAAAATGGAAGATGGTCTATCACTCTGAAACCTTTTCATTTCTTGTTACATAGGCCCAAAGCCCAAAAAGCTAAACCAACCATCTGTGCTTATACAAACGATCCAATCCAAAGCAAAAACTCATAAGCCCTGTTTGGTGGACCGAATTGGATTGATTAGGATAAAACTTGGAGTGTTGGACTGGGCTGGACTTTAAGTCATCTGAGTTGTTCGGAAATGCTATAAGAGCATCTCCAATAGTAGTAGCAAATAAAACTCTTCAAATTGAAGTTTGTTAACCTACGTGGCAATTTGAAAAGCCTTATTTGCTACTTGAATGAAATTTACTCCAATAATGAAATTTACTCCAATAGACTCTTCAATTCAATTCATGCAATATCATGGAAAAGAATGAAAAATATGAAAACATGTGAAAAATGTCTATGTATTTATTATATGAAAAAAGAAAAAAAAAACATGTTTTTAACATTTTCAAGGTAGGTTTTGTTTTTCCAAAGTAAAATTAAATGTTTGAAGAGCCAAAGTTAACTTATCAGTCCTGGAAAGAGAGAAAGAGGTTGTAGCTTTGATGATTGAGGTTAAAGAGGCTATTGAAGAGAGTTTTTCTGATGTGGCTCACCTATCTTAAAATTCCAAATATGTTGAAGAGGCTGTTGGAGATGCCCTAATGAGGGGGTTGTGGGAGGGGTTCAATCCCACTATCCAACAAGAGAGAGAAAATATTGGACTTGAACTTTTTTTATAATTGAATGGTTGGATTGAACCCCCTCACCAAAATACCAATCATTATAGAAGTGCCCTGAGTTGTTTGGTAGATCAATAAGCAGCACTAGACTAGACTTAAGTCCATTGCACTGTTTGGTACAAGACTATACTGGATTGCATTGGACTTCAATAGTTTTTATAATTTTTTTTGTGTTGATTTAATATCAGAAATAATTAATTTTATGAAAAAACATGCGCACATAATTAAAAGTAAGAAAGCCCCATCACATACTAATTATTTGCTTTTACCCCATCGTAGTAAAACTGTCCAAATATAACAAAGTAAAAACTCACCAATCCAATCCGGATTGGACCTATATCCAATTAATTGGACTCATCTAGTCCAGTCCGACCCATCAAATGGGGTCATAATTCATACTCTTAGAAATGTTAGTTGGTAGATGATACTTTTTTTTTTTGTTGAGAAATTCTAGGATTGCATTCATAATTCAACCAAAAAAAACCACTTGCCACAAAGGGCCAATACAAACTAGCCATGAAGGGCCATTACAATAATAGAGCGATCTAACATCAAAATTAAGACAATCAGATGTTCCTCCAGTAACGATCAGGCAGGATTGAAAAAACTCTGGCATAGGCATCCCAACTAAGATTGCAAACTCAAAATAATAATAAAAGAGATCAAACTTGAAAAAACTAAGGCATAACAATACAAATAAAATTCTTACAAAGGAGAGAGGAAAAGTTCTCACAAATGGGAGGTGGAAAGCTCTCACAAAAGATGAGGTGAAAATTGCATAGAGAACTCAAAAAGCCTTTGCGACTTATTCCAAACATAAAGAAATCACAAAAAGGATGGTGGTGGAAATCCGATGCCAAAATGCATGTGGAGATCCAACAATGAGACGTAACTGCTTGTGATGGTTGGATGAAAAATCATAACAAAATGAAGACAAATAGAGGAAACCTTCTGTCTTTGCAAATGAAGGAAGAGGATAAGAGAGGAAAAGAAGAGGGGGGAGGAGAGGGGAGGAAGTGGCTTCCTCCCGCTCAAAGTGAAAATGGATGTAAGAGTGTTTTTTAGGAGAGAGATGGCTAGAGTTTCTCTGGAGGTTTACGCACTTACTGATTGTTTGTTGATAGATGATACTTAAGCTACAATATTTCACTAATACTATAATTATTACTAGTTCTTTGGCACACACTCCAATTAATTTTTTTTTTACTTGTGATATATAACTTTTTTTATTTTATTAATATTCAACAAGTTTGAAGGTAGTTATTTATTTATTTATGGACAACTGCAGTATTGCTCCTAATATTAATTTGCTAGTTTCAACTTATCCAAAGTAGATATTAATTGACCACTATATAATATTGTAATATTATTTTTATAATATATATTATTCTTATTCAATAGTATGTGCGAATTATTTGTACAATACGTGAATTTTGTGTGTCTTACTGCAAATTTTGTAAAAAAATACGTGTATTAAACATTGGAAATATGTATGTACATGTACAATAGGACTATTCCACATTTCCTTTTAAAAAAACATGAGACGTGCGTAGAACACGAATGTACTATTAAAAAATATGTATGTACGTATATAATAGAGTATTAAACGTGAAAGTACTAAATTCTTTATGCGGGTAATAACTCTGAAAAAGTAAAAAATTAAAAGGGGGAAATAGAGACTCGGGTAATGGCCTAATAGTAATGGATAACTACTCTTATCCATAAACGAAAATTGGGGAAAAAAATTAAAAGAAAAAAATTATCCTAGTATATATATAAAAGACTATAGCCACTCGTCTACACTATTTATTGAAGCCAATTTTTTTTTTTTTAAAAAAAAACATTAATGCCGCCAGGCTATACTATTTTTAAAAAATCATAATCGGGTATAGCCGCACGTCTATACTATTTATTATATTTATAAAAAAAAAAACACAGACGCACAATTCTTTGTCGCCCACGTGTAAAATCGTTTAGCCATTCGGCTATACTTGAAAAATTACTGTGTATAGCCGTGCGGCTATACTATTTTTAAATATAAAAAAGGTCCCCACCGATTAGCTACCACATGTCAAAACTAGTTTTTTTTAATTAAAAACAGAGTACAGCCGTGCGGCGGTACTATTTTTAAAAAAGAGGACCCTCGAGCGCCACGTGTCAAAAATAAGTATAGCCGATCGGCCATACTATATAAATACATTATATTCAAACTGTCTAGCCCCTCGGCTATACTATTTAATTTAAAAAAATTATGAAAAAAGGACCCTCCTAATTGCATTAATTTCTACTTTATACATATTATTCTTATTCAATAGTATGTGAGAATTATTTGTATAATACGTAAATTTTCTGTGTCTTACTACAAATTTTGTACAAAATACGTGTATTAAACATTAGAAATACGTATGTACATGCACAATATGACTATTCCATATATCCATTTTAAAAAAACATGAGACGTATACAGAACACGAATGTATTATTGAAAAGTACATACGAACGTGTATAATAAAATATTAAACGTGAAAGTACTAAATTCTTTATATGGGTAATAACTCTGAAAAAGTAAAAAAATTAAAAGAGGACAATAGAGACTCGGGTAATGGCCTAATAGTAATAGTTAACTACTCTTATCCATAAACGAAAAGCGGGGAAAAAAATTAAAAGAAAAAAAGGATCCCAGTATATATATAAAAGACTATAGTCTCTCGACTATACTATTTATTGAAGACAATTTTTTTTTTTTAAAAAAAAATAGTAAAGTCGACCGGCTATACGATTTTTTTAACATTTGAAAAAAAATGGAGTAGCGTCGAACGACTATACTATTTACTATATATATATATATGTATCAGTCCCCTTCTATTGAGGGATCCCTCAAATAATTTTATTTGAGGGACACCCTTTGGGTACCCCTACAATTTTTTTTCCCAATGATCCAGACTTGGAACTACCTGCTTGCCCTGTGTTTGATTGGTCTTTAGAACTCACATTCAGGCTAGAGATGCCTTCTCAGTCACTCTCTCATTATGCCTTTGCAGTCGTTGTTCATGAGATTTTAGAGAGCCCATAACCTCCTGAACCCCTATAGATTATGTATCCTTTGTTTCCTCTATAACTTCAGCAATGGAATCATAGTCTCTGGATAAACTAATCAAGAGTTTCTAAATAATTCTTTATTCAGTTAACTTTTCACCATAAGCCTTCATTTGGTCAGTTTAGTGACATACCCAGATAATGATTCATCATCATGCATACGAGTGTATTCAAATTCTCTTCTAAGAGCTTGAAGTTTCACAGATCTCACCTTCTTATCACCTGTGAACTCTTGTTGCAGGATTTCCCATGCTTCCTTGGCTAACTCTTTCAATGCAATTCTAGGAAAAATGTCGTCAGAAACTGCACCTTGTTTCAGTCTCAAAGCTTTAGCATCCTTTGCAACATTCTCTTCCAAAGCAAGCTTTTGAGCTGCAGTCAGAGCTTCTCCTTCTCCTTCTTCACAGGTTGCTCATACCCATTTTCAACCATATCCCACAGCTTGTGAGATTTGAAGATTGTGCACATCTTTATTCTCCAGAAATCGTAGTTGCTTCCATTGAAGATGGGAGCACGAAGCTCACCCATTCCAGATCCAGCCACGTGAGACTAGATAGAGCTTTCCTCAGCTGGATTGCTGTGATTTCACGACGCCCAGTCTCAGATCGCAACCTGGACTCTCGATACCATGTTGGAGTTTTATAGAGTAGCAGGTTTACTTGCACAGAAAGTTGATAGAGAGAATGTTTCAGAGAGGAGAGAGAGACGTTGAAAGAGAGTGAGAGTCTGTCAGGCAATGATTGTAATCATGCACACACTCATGGTGTGATCTCATTCCACTATCAATATATATTCTTTAACCAGTACAAAAACGACTCAGCCAATACACAGTTGTACCAGCCTGTGAGCTGTACACTTGGCATGAATCTAGACCTATAAGTCCAACAAAATGTGATAGCATATGAGCCAGACACATGGCTGTTGAGAGTGTTTGTCCCACATTAAAATGTTAAGGGACCTAGCCTGGGTTTATAAGGAGTTGGGCTACTCCCCCCATTGCCAATTGGTTTTGGGGTGGAACCTCAACTTCCATCACTGGCTAACTAACAATTTAAACCTGGAAGCAATTTATACTTCAACAGTAACTTCTCTCACACAATCCAAATAGGATGCATGTTTAACGCGAGGTCTGACTCTCTGCAGAAGAATTTTGTGTTTCATCTACCCCCTTGATTAATTTAGTTGAAGTTGATGCCCTTGAGGTCACGTCTGTGGAAGTAGAAGAATCAGCTTTGGTACATTCGCCATGAGCCATGGCTACATTAAGCTGATGATCATCCACAGTAGGCGGATTAATCTGCTCAAAGGTTTTCTCACCAACAAGAATACTCACAACGTCTGCCATTCTTGGTCTTAGAGTAGGAGATATATTCGTGCACAGCACGGCCAAGGTTAAGATGGTGATGGCTTGTTTTGCATCATAAATGCCAGACAAATTTTTATCCACCAAGTCCACGAGGCTTCCATTTTTATATGCAACATAAGCCTGCAGTAAAATGATGTGGGTTTAGAATTCAAAATGTGCATGTTCACTTTAAAGTAGGAGGAATTACAAAATACCGTACGTCCTGTCAGTTTTACTTACCATGTCCAAGAGATACTCACTCTCATGGTTAAATTTGTATCCTGCATTTTTCTTCCCACTAACAATTTCGAGTATAACCACCCCAAAACTGTAAACATCAACTTTGCTTGTTACAAAACCTTGAACTACATACTCAGGTGCCATATGTCCACTGCATCAACAACAATGAAGCATAAATTCAAATTATATTTGCATAATGCACCCGTCATAGTATGAGTTGAATTTCATGGTATTATTTTATACAGAGTTTCAGAAAGCGAAAGGTATTTGGTTTTTGTACACTTACTTTGGTGCTTCCACTTTAATGATCCTAAGTTGTTCTTCCTCGGTATACAGGCTTGCCATTCCAAAGTCTGAGATCTTAGCATTAAGAGCTCCATCAAGGAGGATATTTTCAGCTTTGATATCCCTATGAACCATCTTGAGTCTAGGGTGCTCATGAAGATGATCTAAACCCCTCGCTATTCCCAGGCAAATGTTAAATCTATTTTCCCAATTAAACTTCAATCTGGACTTCGAGCCTGCAAGTCACATGAATGATGACCACTTTAGCATTCTATGCATATATTCCTCCGGTTTAGTCTAAACCGTAAACGACTTTGTTTTTGTCATAAACACTGTATCAGCACAGAAAACACAAGTCACTAAAACAGAAAAACCCTTTCATGACACCTGATTTGCATCATGGAAGGCATTTAATGACTCAGGGTAAGTGTCGTAATATGCGTCGTCGAATGGGGGGTCATGGAAAGTTTTCTCAAAAGACGACATCTGGTATGCGTCACCTAATAGTATTTCGATAGTATTTCAATGATGAGTGAGTACCGGATCTTATTTCTTAATATAAAAGCAATACATGGAAGAGGAAAATTTTGGCTAAGCTCAAACGAATGTAAGTATCTCTATTTGTACACAAAAGGAGGAAGTATAATATAGAATAAAACAATTTGATGTTGTGCTTGAAAAATTAGAAAAGGGAGGAGAAAAGATGAATTACCAAAAAAAGCGTCTGCAATGGACAGGTTTGGCATATATTCATAGATGAGCAAATGCAACCCTTCTCCAAAATAAGCATCCAACAATTGAACAAGGTTCTCATGCCTGAATGACTTTAAGGCATAGAATTCATTTAATAATTCCTCAACTTTTTCTTTTGAGTGAGTAGAAAGTCTTTTAACAGCTACAGTAGTTTGACCACCTTCCAGTTCAGCCTGCATCAACACAATAGACAAATGTTATATATCTGAATAAATTTGCAACATTCAAAAGATACCCCACCCTAATATCAAATTTCTGCCACAAATTAAGTTCACAATGTAAAAGCATACCTTATAAACCCTTCCAAAATGCCCTCTACCGATCTCCATTTTGCTGCTAAACTTTCGAGTTGCACCTATTAATTCTTGAAGGGTAACATGTTTATCTTGGCCTATCCGTATTTCTGTTCCGGGAAAAATCAAAGATGACATGTTAACTAGGAAAGAATTCTTGAAAAAGGGCATGGTGCAGTGTAGTTGTAGCTTCACTCACCTATCAACTCTCTTTTCCCCAGCCAGCCCATTTTCCACATGAAAGCTAATAGAAGCAATAGAACAACTACACTTGAAGGTAGAGTAATAATCAATGCTTTCTTCAATTTTCGCCACAATGCAGAGTGTTGGGGAACTTCGAAGTGATATTTCATCGAAGGAAGGAATAACAGCAAGAGAAAAGTCAAACTTTAAAAGATTGTCAAATTAATTAACAAGATTAAACTAATTAACTGAAATGAAAACTGCCTGGCTGCAACCTTGAAATAGCCAACTTTTTGGTAAATTAACGGGGCACATGATGACCATATAAGCCAAGGGGTTTAAGTGTAGCTTGGAACCAACTAGAAGAAACTAAAGTCATAGCCTTTTAAATCACCTGGAGTTATGGAAATAGCAGAAATGAGAGGTCCATTCAAAGTAAGCTGGTCGTCTGCACATCCCTTTCCAGCCCAGTAGAAGGAAATCTCCAGTACACTATCATTAACATCAGCTTCGAAATGTATGGTTTTGGTTTCACCTGGACCCTCTGCCTCCTTTGCGATGTCGAAATTCATTAGCCTTCTCTCATCCTACAACAAACGCTTCTTTTAACACTGGCAGACAGTAAATATGAGCAGGAACAAAACTATGGGTCACACCTCTATTCTAATGATGGTACACAAGATTTCAGTTGATGGTACAAATAACAGTACTCAATTTAGTGTCAAATAATAGGATTAATTGAATGACATCAGCTCTTACCTGGATATAAACGTCAAATGCCCGTCTCTTTAGTATACTGTATGATTCCTTCTCCCTGAATACTATTTCAGCAAAGTGAAGGGTCACAATATATTTGCCTTCGTGTAAGCAAACATAATAACTTAGGAAGACAGGGGCAAGCCGAGCATTTGAATATAAGTCTGCCTCAGGAACATGAATTCCACCTGGCTGGTTCTGTATGAAAATACTCGAATTGGACTGTGAGAATAAGAAGTCTCCAGAAAGGCTATAAGCCCAGGTTTTGGATGGACTAATATAATAGAGTGAAGTTGATTCATCTGCTTCATAATAATTGTCACCGACAGTTAATCCCTCACCACCACAATTTATGAACAAGGAACGAGCTGCAAATGTTAGTCAGAAAGGGATAGTCAGAAAGGGATAAAATAAAGTGAAAATGAGACATTAATAAAATGAAAAACGATAAAATTAACCTGAGCTGCAAATGTTAGTCAGAAAGGGATTGTTAAAGTTCAGATTATGCTTATGTAACCAATCATTTACAAAATTCATACTCTCTTATCATGCTTTATAAAACTATTACAAACTTCTTCCTAGAGATAATATACAAGTCCTCACCAGACAAAATGACATGGTTGAAGTACTTAACGTTGCTGTTTTTTGTCTTTTATTTAACGGTGCCAATTTTCAGGAATCCTTTAGGTAAAGTTGTGTGTGATTGTATACACGTCTGAAGAACCAACCAAACTCACATTTAGATTTTCGTCCAGGACAATGCGTATGCATGCGTTTCTTTGGATCCCTGAATAAACCACCGAATTTGTAAGAAATGGCCCTTGGCTTTTCTTATACTAGAACAGATAAAAATATTAACATACACAAACAGTTGATCTGGATCGGTTGAACTTGAACTGCTGCAGCAGGCAAACAAGTTCCTGAAATGTATGGAAAACGATCTCATCATAATTCCACATGCAACTAGATTGGTAGCAACAGAAAAAGAAAATTAATGCCAATTCTTACAGATGATCTCGCTTATGCACTCCGAAGCTAACTTCTGAAAAGCTGTTGTACGACAGATCCCTGAAAAGACATGTGGTCAAATATCATAGCTAATGGAACGTGGGAACATAATACGCTCCTAGAAAATGATGGTGGCTTAGATAAGGATTTTTCTTCTGCATATCATTAAGCATTCCGGTGTCAAATCGAAGTAGCTGTCTGATGAAAGAAGTATTCTAGTATCTAAATTACTGAATAACATTTTGTAGAATGGTCATTTCACAACAACTATTCATATAAATATTTCATTGCATTGATATGATTGAAGTTAAGAAGACACTCAAATATCAGCTCAAAATTAATATACTCCATATAATGACTTTTTGACCTTGCTAACGTGATTCTTCTTGTCACGCACTAAATTACATCCTAGTGGTAGGTCCATATATACTTCTTCTTCCAAGTCTCCATGTAGGAATGCATTTTTGACATCAAACTGATGTAATGGTCAATCGAGATTTGCTGCTAGAGACAATAGAACTCTGATAATGTTAATCTTGACTACTAGGGCAAAGGTCTCAGAATTCAAATAGCGCCTTTTTGGTCTTAATCAAGTGCACAATGGCTTTAAGAAACCAGCATTACTACTGACAACTGTCACTTAGGGCCGGTCCTAAGATTTTGAGGGCTCTGTGCGAAACTTAAACAGGGACCTCACATAATCTAATATGAAAATGCGAAAGAAAATAGAAAATTTGCCATGACTTAATACCTTAAAACAACTTTTTTAACAACTAAAATTCATCATCAATTATCATACAATGATAATAATAAATCAAATTTATAAGAGTTTTAATGTTTCAATTTGAGAACAAAGAAGAGGAAGAAGAAGATAATAACTTTTTATTTTATTTTCTTTTGAGTGGGTGAAAACATATATATATATATATGTGTGTGTGTTTTTTGGTTAATTGGAGAAAGCGTATATATACTGCTTGTGTGTATTTATGTTTATAGCAATTAAAAAAGAGTAAAAATGTAAAAATACAACTTTTGAATGACATATTCATTTGGTAAGTTTGTAGTGAAATCCAATCATTAAAACTGTGCAATGTTCCAACCACAGTACAAACTTGAAGTGTCCAATTTCTTTGACCAATTGATTTCGGATCTGGCCCAAAACTTGGCCAACATCATAATATGGTCAAAGGATTCATTTGGTAAGTTTTTAGTGAAATCCAATCAATAAAATTATGCAATGTTCCAACCACTTGATAAACTTCGCAAGAACTTCGTACGAACATGAAGTGTCCAATTTATTTGACAAATTGATTTCAGATTCACTCCAAAACTTAGGTAACATCATAATATGGTGAGAGTCATTTGGTGAGTTTTTAGGAAAATTGAGGCAATGAAGACCAAACAAAACCAAATATACAGTTGTGTTATTTTTTTACACGCTTAAATATATATAATACTTGTAATATTAATATATTAATATACAAGTCAAAAAATTTCGAGGCCCTTAAAAATCAGAGGACCTGTGTGGTGGCACCACTTGCACACCCTCAGGGTCACCCCTACTGTCACTGAAAAAGATAACTACGATGCTACCAACAATTCCTCATTATAGAGAGTACGTACTTCCTAAATAGTTTCCTTTTATTTGCTAGGCTGTTACATGGTTCTTTCATATATGTATGCGCACACAAGGTTTACTACCGCATGTAAACAACCAGACTGATACATACTCCGTCCAACTGAAGGCGAATCCAGCATATTTGAATTTGCCATCAATTGCAGGTTCAAAAAGCAACGATCCTAATTCTAATAGTGAACTTGAGTCATAAACATCTTTATAACTGGTCTTACTTTAATCCCAAAGGTGTTAAAGGAAATTATGAGATACTAAGCTTTCTGGCAATCATTGTTGAAGAAATAAAGATCAATTCTCAAGATACTAAGCTTTCGGACTTACTTGACAGCCAATGCATGAAGATAAAAATAACTGTACATATATAGTTTAAGATTTTGAATACAGAAGCTTACAATCTAGTCTTGACTGCACCAACCCAAGCAGGGATTGTATCATTAAGTTTATTTTTTGCTAAGGACCTGAGGAGAGAGAGTTAATAATAGAATAATAACATCAACAAGAGTTTGGTTGTCTTTTGTGTAGCAAAAACACACGAATAACATTCACTTACAAGTGAGTTAAATTTAAACCACTCATGGATTGTGGGATTCGTCCGGTTAATTTGTTAAAGCTCAAATCCCTGTTAAGAATACATAGAGGCATTAACAACTTGGGAACTTAATTAACTAGTCTGTGAGATAAATTGTACCGAAGTACATTCAAAAGCAGGAATTGAAACAAATCAGTAAACCATTACTCTAGGGACTTGAGAAGGTGTGTTGGTGAAGAGGGCGGGGGGTGAAGAGAGAATGTGGAATAGAAGAGAGAGAGAGAGAGAGAGAGAGAGAGAGAGAGAGAGAGACTCACAAGTATGTTAAATTTGACATTTCACCAATGTATTCAGGGATTTCACCGGTGATGGAACAGTTCCTTAATATCCTATAGAAACCATGAGAAGAGGTGAGTGAGTGGATAAATCATATGAGCAGATCGTGGGAATTAGAACAATAAAAGCCATTTACAGAGTGTTTATATTGCTCAGGTTCGCAGATCGTGGGAATTGGAAATCAGAGTTTGCTACGTCACTGATCATTCTGCAAAATGGACACCAAAAATTCATCACGAAAACAGAGCTGCTGATTTTTGTTTTTTTGTTTTTCCCTTTTTGTGAAAAAGTGGGTTAATGAAACAGAAGGGGACGGTGTACTTACAAATACTCAAGACTGGAGAAATTAAAAATTTCCGCAGGTAGACTCCCTTCAAAATTGTTTCCCACAATTGACCTGTGAGCAGTGCAGAGTAGTACTAAATTCAGATGTCTCTATGAGATAACTTTCATAGAGTAGAAGCTTAATCTAGATGTTCAATTTGCTCTTGGTACCATTTACATCTATTCTCCCAAAGATTTACGAATTGTGTGCAGTAACGTAAAGGAAAACTTACAGAAAATAGATTTGGGTCCATTTTCTGATGAAGTCAGCTGGGAAGCGACCAGACATATAGTTGCCAGATATTGAACTGCATTGGCCAATTAGGGTCTCTTAAAAATTAATAAATTCACCTTAAGGTAGATTGCAGACATCAACAACATTACATAAAGAAGACTCCTGCTACACTCACCAAATTCCTTTACCAAATTTTGTTCCTCAAATGATGTGCCGTGTCTCATTTATTCAAATCTGAGTCCACTATTGACCCCATTTATTTCCAACAAGATATAAAATGCGAACTAACACATCACTTGGTAGGCAAATTTGACTTTGACATTATTAAATGAGAAACACTTACAATGAGCGCAACTGATTAAGACTGCCATAATCCGGGAACTCCCCAGTGAGATCATTGGATGCCGGCCAGCTTCCACAACATGAGAACAAAACAATGTGATCCCAGTAGATATTTAAGTACCAAAATTTTCTCCTTCTTTTCTCATGATATATATATATATATATATATGTAACTTTGTTTGAAAGAAGCTTACAAGTATTGGAGATTGCTCAAATTACTAAATGAGGGTGGAAGACGACCAGAGAGTCGATTCTGATCCAAAAATCTCAAAGCAGAGAGAAAAAAAGGGAAGACGAATTCAGATGTTTGTTTTCAGTAGAAAGTGTTAGCCTTTAGAATATATGTACATAATTTATCTCGCTGTATGTGTGTGTGTGTGTGTGATGGAGAGAGAGAGAGAGAGAGAGAGAGTGTGTTCATAAAGTGCAACGAAGGTGTGAGCAAAGAACTTACAATCTTTGAAGGGCTGTGATGTTTCCTAATTGGCGGGGAATTGGACCTGACAAGTTATTATAATACAGAGACCTGCAAAACTCACAGATTATAAAGAAGAATTTGAAATGTTATACAAAGGAACCAACTGATCATATCAAGTCAAAGAAAGTCGAAGAATTAAGTGCAATGGTGAAAACAAAAAGTCGCAGAGAGTTTACTTACAATAGTTGCAGAGAACTCAGTGCACCCAAAGATGATGGTATCTGTCCGCTGAGGAAGTTGTGATCCAGATAGCTTTTTGGCCAGAAAACAATTGAGCTAAGTTATTAGATGTTACCTTGTTAAAGCTCGGAGAGAGGGGTAGAAACAGAGTAAACTTAAAGTCGAGTTAAGCCGAGTTGTAAGAAATACTGAAATTAGATATAGATATATACAAATTACAACATAGAATTCAAGATTAGATAGAAAGTCAGCCCATGTAAGAAAAAAAGGAGGAAAAAACCATGTTTAAATTCCACAGAAAAAAGAACGTTTGGGGAAGTACACATGCCAATTCCACACTCCACGCCTATCAGAAATTCACAGACAAAGTACAATGACCAAAACAAGTATAAGTCTGACTTAACAGTTGCTGTTGTACATTCCTTGATACGCTTTCTCGAAATCCTAAAGAAACAAAACTCAATAGAGGGGGAGAGGAAGCATCACTGCCCCTCTTCCCTTCTCCCCTCTTCTTTTACTTTTGTTTTTTAATAGGAGTTAGTAAGTCTATTCGGACGTTTTGAATAAGAAACCTTTTGTAATGATTTCTTCTAAATCATATTCAGTTTGAAGTTCTCCACAACTTCTTTTGGGTTAATTCCTTAATCAAATTATTTTTTGAAACTGTCTTTGTATGAATTCTCATCTTCTCTAAATTTAATTCTACCTCGAATTTGAAGGAGTTTGGTTTTTGTCATATTTGTTCAATTGGCATAGTTGTTCATTGGTATTCGTAGTTGGATCGTTGGAAATGTGGTTTTTCCAGATCTGTTAGAGCTTTTGCATTGACTTATATAAAGACTAGACTTTTGACTTAAAGACTAGATGCTTTTTGGTTATTTTGATGTGAGTTATAGTAGTTGTTGGTCTCCCTTGTAACCAAAGCAAAAAAGAAAAAAGAAAGAAACCAATATTGAATATATACTTACAGAATAGTAAGATTGCGCAAGTGTCCAATGCGCCCTGATATGCCTCCTGTCAGTTGATTGCTTGAAAGGTCTCTGAATATATGAAAACTTAATTAATATGCATTCATATAAATTCAATAAATATGTATATGTTTTGAGGTAAGGTCTGGCCCTCAAGTGAATCCTTAAGTCCGTATCTATATTTATGCATATACACTTACAATTGTATGAGGGATGACAAATTCCACAAGGTCTCGGGTATGGAACCGGTGAGCTTATTGCTGGATAAATCACTGTTTAAGTGAGGCATCATATAATCAATCATTATAAGTATACAGAATCAACTAATAAATAAGAAATTAAATTGTATATATTTAGTGGCTTGGTTTCCCTTTTTCGTGACAATTAATATATAAAGGATCGGTTGAAAGACTTTTTTTCAAAAAGAAAGATGTAAAATATCTAAGCTCCCGCATCAAAAGAACTGGCAAAGACAAGTTTTCTGAATGTTTTAAAAAATATATTATTCAATTCTCTGAACGCCTTTTTATTTTTATTTTTAAATTTTTTTATAAACTTGTTGGAATAATGATATGAAATAATTACAGCTACTCCAAATGCTCAAGCTCCTCCACTTCTTAATATGAAAAAGTGTGAATTTACCATATTATCCTTATTT